ATTCACGCATCACGTGTCTAAAACCCGGAAATGTGATGTTGAAAATGAAGTAGTTTAGACGATAGTTTATTAGTAAGCTTAAAAAGTCCAAATCCATAACATCAGCGATAGTCTATTCTAGTGTAGCATTAGGATATAAAAGAACAATGTACTTATGTAAAAGAAAGGAGCAAAAAAACGAACTGAAAAATAAAACAAGAAAAACTGAATACCCAAAAGTATCGCGCTCTATAATGAGACAACTAATTAAAAATTGCTAAATTAGTAGTGTGATCGATGACGCCAAAGAAGTGAATTTCCAATTAATAAACTTACCTTGTTTAGTACCGCTAGCTTGGAAAGAGGATAATCTGAAGGGTCACAAAGGAATGGTGGCAAAAGATTATCAGTAAAAGCATAAGGGCAAGGAACAAGAGAAACAATAGTTAAAAGAAAACCCGGCCAAGTCAAATCACACACCTCGACTAAAGAAACCTACCCACCTGAACATTACGCAAGTACTGGTCCAAGAAGCGACAGACTCGCTGAAAATCACATTCACACCAGGTTCTTTTTCCTATTTGATGTTATTTTTTTTTTCTCTTTGTCTCTTTTCATTTCTGTTTGATATATTCTATATCTTTTCTTTTTTTTATCCACTCTGCTGATATTGTTTATCTCTTCCTATTCTATAATTTCTTTATATCTTTTTTTCTATAGTTCATTGTTGTTCTCTCTATAATTCTTCTACATAATTCTTTGGTTTTTTTCTTTGCAAATTGATATATATATTGGATTATCTTAGGGCTTCTAATGATACTACTTCAATACCACTTTGATACTAGTTTAATATATAAATTTACTATAAAATCATATGAGTAGGTTACAATCCATATATTAAATTTACTATAGATTGGTACCAGTTCAGTACTTTTTGGAGCCCTAGGTTATCTTTTTGGTCAGAATCTTCTTTACTATATAGTTTCTTGTGCTCTCTGAGTTAGTAATTAATAGTATTTTTGGTTTTGAGTCTTCTTTCTCTTTTCTCTTGTTTCAGTTTCTTTGATACTCTTTCATTTTTTCTTTTATTATTTTTTTATATTCATCTGTGATTTTGTATTGCCAATGTTTGTGTATTAAGTGCTCTAGATTTTCTCTTTACTTGCATCCTGAGTATTTGTTTGATTTGTAAATATCTGATCTTCTTTCTGCTAGCCTATCCAGTATAGGAAGTTCACTGTTTAATAATCTGTACTTAATTCTTTTATATGTATGGTTTTCTTGGCTTGTGTATATTTTAGTTATTCTGAATTGGTATTGTGCTTCCCAAGTAAAGTGTCAGTCTATTTGTAGCTCATCTCTGTACTTGATCCATACTCTATTTCTTTTCTATATTATCTAGTTTACCATTTATTTGATGTTTTATATAGTTTTTAAGAATTCTTTGATATTTGTATCTAGCTAATATTCCTTCTATTTTAGTGTTTCCCATGCTGCTGCTTTTGGATTGACTATTGTAATTGCTTCATCTTCTTTGTTTACTTCTTCTTTTACCAATTCATTTACTTTTTTATTGTTTTCTTCTTCCTGGTATGCTTTGATTTTAATAAATATTGTTTGTCTCTGTCTTTCTTTGATGATTCTTTTAATTAGAGTTTTTGTTATTCAGTTTGTACTTTAGTAGATTTGATAGCTTCCTTTGTCTTTTTTTTGAATTTTTTGAATAGCTGCCTGATTGTCTGTATATATCTCAACTCCTGCTTGTGCTGGGATTGTAATTAGCATGGTTAGAATTACTATTAATTCTGCTCTCGTTGATGATGGGAAGTACTCTGTATGACCCAAGTATACTACTTTCTTTCCTGTTTCTTGATTGGTTATGTACCATTTCACTTTTTTAGTTTAGTTGGTTGCTTTCTGAACTATTGAGCCATCTGTGTATGTTTTTATTCCTTTTCAGCTTTTCATTTGTTCAGCTATTTTGGCTAGTTCTTTTTTGTTTGGACTGCTGGTTCATAGATATTTTGTAATTTTGTTTTTTATTTCTGTTTGTTTTTTACTAATTATAATATTGATTCTGGTTTGTATTTTGTTTTTCAAATTTTATATATTGTACATTATTGTGTCTGATAATGTTTATATTCTGTCAAAATATCCTAGGATCTGATTAATGGAGCTTTGTACTGTGTATAGTTTTGGTTACTGGAATAATTATTGTCTGATCTATTTTAATTTCTCTGGTATACTTCTTTTTTATATTGTCTCTGTGGTTACAACCTTGACATTTGCCTATAGGTAAGTCTTCTCCTATTTATTATATATATTGTACTTTCATTTTGTTGTCTGTTATTTTATATCTGTGATTTATTCTTCTATGTCTTTACTATTTATTGTAAGAAGTGTTGTTTTTTCTAGGTTGACTTTAAGATTAATTAGCTTTACAAATTGTTTAGTGGTTTTGATGATTTTGTCAATATGCTTTCTACAACCTGCTAGTCAAATCGTGTTATCTATATATGTTATTGATAAGATTATGTGTTCTTATTCTCTTCATATACTTGAATTGTTTATGGATTTTTAAACTAAAAATCTGTATCCTATGTTTTCTTTTTTCACTTTGCTAATCAATTGATCATAATATATATGTTATAGCAAGGATAAAATTGTGTCTTATTGATTTATACCTTGTACTGATTTAAAATTGTCTGTAAGATTATGATATGGGATAACTCTTATTTTTTTATTTTTGATTAGATTTTTTAGGATCTTACTAATGGTTGTCAGAATTTTGATTCTCTACAAAACCTTACTTAGAAGCTTTGGATTTATTGAGTCATAGGCTTTACTAATATTCTGATTTAGAATCCAGCATTTCTTGTTCAGCTCTCTCGTCTTTTTCAATACATTGTTAAAAATGCAGATTGATTTTTATATATCTTTTTCTGGAAGTTCTATCTAGTTGAGTGGTAAGAGAATTTTATGTTCCATTAGTATATTGCTTAATCTGTTGTTGATAATTTTGATGAATATTTTTTTAATAATTTCTAATAAAACAATTGATCTTATATAGTTTAGATTATATTGCCAATCTATTCTCTTGAGGATTGGGTAAATATTGATTTTGTTCTACTGTTTTGAAATTTCCGTCGATTCCAAAATTCTATTAAAAGTTAATATAATTCTTGTGATTCCTTTATTATCAATATGTTTTAGCATGGTATAGTTGAGTTTGGATCTTTCAGAAGCTGATTCTGCGTTTGTTTTTGTAATGATGGCTTTGACTTTATCTGTTGATATTGATTATATTATTAGGCTATACCATGTTGCATTGATGTTTGGTTGTAATATGTATTCTTTCTTCCATTTGTTCTAAGTCTCTTTATCCAGGTCTCTGGTTTCTATTGTGGAGTTTGAAAAATGTAATGTTATCTTTCTTTTGATTTCTTGTGGATCTGTAATAACATTCATATCTGATGTTTTGGTTATTAGTTTGTTTATTGTGATACATGTTCTTTGCTGGCTTAAAATTATGCTGATTATTTTCTTGGAATCATCTTTTATTTGAAATATTTTTTTCTCTATTTGTTGTTTGATAATGACTTTGTTTTTTTTCTGGTTTTTTTTTTGTAATAGGTTTCTTGTATATTATAAAGCCATTCTTTTGTGACTACATTTTCAACTGACCTATCTATTTGCATGTCATTATTGTTTCAATGTTTTTATTCTATTTTGTCTATAAGTTTTGAAATTGCTTGTTTGGCTGTATCTGGATCACCTTTGTTTTTTAGAAGATGATTTTTCCATGTGTTAATCTTTTTTAGTGAAAGTAGGTGTTGTGTCTTTTTGGGTGGTGCTAGTTTTTTTCCTTGATAATGTTTTTGATATTTCCATCTCTTAATGTGTTGATACATCACTTTGCTAATGACATGCCATGTGATGTTCCATAGTTTGTTGCTGTCTGTCTTTGTCATATCTTGTTTTGAGTTTTGCTTTATGATTTGATCCTCTATTTGTTGTTGAAACTTCTTTCATTGTTCTGGGCTGATAATTGGAGTAATTGAAATTGATCTTTATATAAATTTAATATATAACCAGGTACGTTACAATTGTACAGATTTATTATTAGAAAAATATTATAGGACAAGATAAAAAGATAAGATTAGCTGTTAAGCTTGTGGACTTTGCAAGAGGACATTCTCGACCTACCGCAGTTTGAAAGAAGTGTTGACGATTTCTGAACGAGACACTTGGCAATTAAGGTATGAACGAATATACTTTAAATACATTTTTTTCGGATATGACGAGGAAGCGATCCAGCTAATATCTATTTTTCTTATTCAGAAATTTCTAGGACGTTATTAGGCGGAGAACATAAACTTTCGGTGAGTTTTACTAAGATCATAATGTTAATTTATTTCTGACCCATGTTCTACGCATAACTGACAACCAAAGTCTAACTAGTTTCAGTCATCTACATAGCAACAAGGTTTTGGTTAGGCATTTTGTATAGAACTGCTAGAGAAATGAAATCGGATTAGAATTAATCTTGGGATATTGATTTAGTATAGATAGTTTAGATGAACGAAACACTAGTGTGGTCTGTAGTCATTAGTACATAATCGTTATTTCCCTTTGTAGAACAAAGTTCATGTGTCATTAATTCATGCAATTCATCTTCTGTATCAATAAAGAATTCAAGTCGAGAATGCTATACATTTTATCAAGTATATTTTCATGGGATATGGAGACGTAAGGTGAATAAAAAAAGTGAGACCAAAGGTAAATTGCATTTTAAATAAGTTGCGTTCTATATGAATATGTTGCTCTAATTATTTGTAAAAAAAAATAGAATATCAAAAAAAAAAAAAAACGCGTTACCATAAATGAGCGCAAACGTCATGTGATATACTATAAAATGATCGTGTTTAACTGTTTCTTTTAAGCCACAAAAAGTTCACACGAAATTTTTGCGCGCAATTTTCACCAAAAAGTTTTCTGTTACGTATCAATAACGTGTAAAAATGAGTTACGAAATATCAGAACAGGGAATCTCGATCACGTACGACGATGAAATCGCTCAGGCTCCTGAAAATACTAACTCTGAGCCTGGCGCGGATGGATTGGTGAATTACTATCAGCTTCTCGAAATAGATGATCCAAAAAATATATTATGGCGTAAGAAACTCGGTAAAGGTCTAGCGGACTTTTTGAAGTCCAGCGATAGAATTGATGAGATACCTCCAGGTGCATAGTTTTTTTTATTACTTACGTACAATGAGTTATTAGTATTATTTTTTTTATTATAAGAAAAACATTTACTTTAGAAAGTGCGATTCTGAAAAACCTCCCACCGGGGTATCTTCTTTATGAACACCGCAAACAAAACTCAAGTGGCGGCATGCGGACCGACACTTATCTCTACGGTAACTTAATGATATCGCGTGATTTATACAAATATTTTGAATTTATTTTTGAATTTATTTTTTTTTTTGGTAGGCAAGCACAGGTTCCGATCACCAAATGAATTTATGTTGCACCTCTTTTGGCTTGCGTCGGATAAATCTGAGCATTGCAAATGTAAATATTGCGGGAGCTCAAGCGGTGTCAGTTCGCTAAATTCAAAACAACAATCAAAATCTACTGCTACAAATAAGGAAAAATTAGCAAAAAAACATGCCAAGAAGGAAGCACCAACTAAAGAAAAAAGGGGTAGAAAAAAAGGGGTGAAAAAGGCTGATCAACCTATGGACATAGATGCCGAAACACAATTAGAAAGTTTAATGCCTTTTGATGACAATATTTTAAGCAATGAGCCGAAAGTGAAAAAACAACCAGGTGAATCTAACGCAATAATTTTTCGAGTCGGAGAAATTGTGTGGCTGGATGTTAAAAAGATCATGGATAATGATCTGCAGTCCAAATGTAACGAGATCAATACGGCGCCTATTAAATATTGGCCAGCAATTATTCTAAAGGTCAAGTCAGATATGCCTGATCAAATTTCAGAAAGCGACATTTTCACTTTAAGGGTTCTTATGTTGCGTAGCCAAAAGGAAGTGGGCATTGGTTCAATACAGCCTTGGATAATGTGTACTCCCGAAAATACAAAATCAACGAAGGCACGAAAAACAAGATCAAATTTTAATGTGGACTTGGAAGATCCCAATCCTGATCATGTTGTTAATGCTTATAAGAAAGCTATACAGAAAGCACGCGAAATCACAGAAACATACACAACAATTAAACCGTATATATATCGCCATTCAGAGGATGGACCAGCCGAATTTAAAAAGCTAGAGAATTATTCACACTTCAGAGCAATCCTTTTTGGTCCCGAGATCTTGGAAGAGGATGATATGGTGCGCTTGATACCAGCACATAATGAAAGTTCTTCAAGTGATGATCCTGCAAAGCGCGGTTCTTTTTTACAGATAACGAGTATCTACCAGGATTCAAAGAAAAGAGTTAAAATCACTGGTGATGCTTATGATAGAGGAGAGTCGGTAGGAGAGAATAAATATAAATGGCATCCTGTGAATGCAGATAGTGAAGAGTTTACTGTTGAATTAAGTGACATAGCTGGTCGATTTTATCCATTGTGGCCGGATATGACTGAACAAATAAAATGCATACACGCAAAGAAATTACAACAAAGACAAGTAATGTATGTCGAAGATTCCTCGGAAATTAATTCAGATTTATGGTTGAAAATGAAACCTCAATCGGAAGTTCAACCTGTAACCGCAAACGACGAGCCATCAAATAGACAAATTGCCAAAAGGAAAATGTCTTCAGCATCTGGTACCACACGTAAAAGGCAATATGTGAAACATGCATCACCGCTCAAAGCTTCTGCTGAAACGGTCAATAATAGGAGGGCGGTCGAAATTGAACAATCAGAAACAACTAAAATGGAAATTACCATAGATACCTCGGTTTCTGGAAATGTTCCTGGTAAATTGTCTGTAACTCCGCAAGGTGGGTCCTCAATAAAATTTTTGGATATTGAGAGGGTTATATACCCGGGCACCAATGACAATGACGCTCTTCCCTCAGTGTTATCACCTGATACACCCACTTTTGATTCTGAAGAAGAAACGAAAGACACTGATACTTTGCTTCAAGCTACGGTTGACGATAAAGAATGAACGTTAGTATTGCAAATAATAAAATCGAGATGTAGTTTTTAAACTTGATATTCTTTTATATTACATGTAGTTCTTTTTTCAGGTGTGACAACGTTAATATTATTGCGTCGAGGGTTATAATTACTATGGGAACAGCTTCGTAACGAGCTCAAAGACTCGAGATAAAATTGAAATTGAATAACAATTTAAATTTGTGAATTAATTTCCTCATCTTATATCAATAAATGTTACACGCTTTATATAATTCTACGTATTAGCATATCTCTTCGATTACTATGGTTGAATAGTCGAGATGAAATTACCAATATTTATCTTGTGATATCTATACTAATTGAACGGATAAAAAATTTTTTCTTGATTACAATCTTTTATTATTTCGCTAATTTTTTATTAATAACAATAATAATTAATGATGATAAATAAATTTTTTTATTTTAAAGCAATAATAAAAAATTTTTCATATACTAATAAATTAATAATATTTTTTCTGTTTCAAATATACAGTATATACAGTATATATTTTTTATTCGTTATACTAAATTTTAAAATTAAATTCTGACTTATAAAATCAAAAAATCGATAGCAAATTGATTTAATAAAACCTATTTATTAAATATTTATGATCAAATGTTTGAAATTCATATTTTTATTCAATCTGAAATTTAATTTATTTACATAATATTAATAAGTAGTATTGGTCAATATTTTTTAAAATATACATGTATTTATTTATGTATTTTTTAATATATAAATACTATTACATCTATTTAATTTCCTTTGAATCCATTATATTAATTGTACGGCTTATAATTTAAGCAAAAAACCCTTCAAATTGATAAATCTATTATTTTATTTTATTTCTTCAATGTCGGTATGCCAGAAACATATATTCTTCCATCTATATTGATTAATTAAAAAATGCCAATTTCGTCATCCATATAAGTTGTACAATTGTGGCGTTGAACGAATCGCAATTTTTTTTTCTCCAAGATCTCTGTTTTCGATTTTTATTGAACGGCAGTAATTTGAGAAATTCGTTAACTCGCTCTATAGTAACCAATTTTTATACCAATATTAAGTTACCTAATCCACAATACTTCTAGAATATTTAAGTACACATTAATAACGGTTACCCTTGATAGAATGGAATAATCTTGGATGTTCCCCTCTATTTTTTGTCATTCCACAGTTCAACCGTCTAAATTATTGACGACTATTAAACAATATGTACAACTTACCAAAATTTGATGTAAATTTGATAAACCAAAATCAAATATTTGATTTACCATTGCGGCTTTTATGTTCGTGGTTATCATAATTTCGCTTTTCTTTCCTGGATGTCAATACGTCCCACCGAAGAATCATATCGGCGAGATTATGATTGGGAAGTTCTATAGCAACTTTATTCCATTTCACGAAGCCCTCAAAGGCAATTCCAAATGACAGAATACATTCCTCTTCCTCAGTCCATGGAGTATTTGTAGGCTTCACCTGTAGTGTCGAAGGCACATTTAAATATTTATGCTTTATTTTACACCAATGTAACGCCAGCTCCATTTGATTTCTATGCGGTAGAAGCTGGACTACTTTGTCCCAATCTTTCTCCCCATGCAAAATTACTGCCATCCTAATAATCTCGTTTTCTGAATCACTCCATGAGTTAGTCTTGGATATGGCTGACAAAAGTGTTTCTTGTTCCTTTTCAACTGATAATCGATTGGTTTCGGTCGTAGTTTCTACTTTATCAAAAACCCCATTTGCATTTCTCGAGCTTTCACAAGCAAATACTGGACGACATCTTTTTTTCTTTTGAAGTTGCCGGTACCTAAGCGCCAAAGCATTCGGATTCCTTCTGGACTTAAAAATTCTCTTGGAAATAGAATCCCATTGTGTACCATATTCTTCAACGGAACTAATGAGCAGATCTTCTTCTTTGGCAGTCCAAAACATTTTAGTTCGCGTTGATATTTTTTGTTGATGGGCTGGCGTCTTGTGATTTTGGTAATCAGTTTCATAGTCACTTGGTGTAGAAACACTAGAATTTGAAAATTCGGGTGTTGAGATGGTTGAAGACGTGTCTGCTTGTTCTGGAATCTTTAGTGATATAATCGTTGACATTTTGGCTCGAATCTTCTTGATCTCAGGGCAACCATTATCTCCATCATTCTTTCTTTTCGTGCTAATAGTCTCCTGTGGCTCCATGACACCCAATTTCGACCTGATACGCGCCCATTTCTCAGCTATAGTTAATCCAGACCTTTGATTCGAAAAGGTGGTTTCAGAAATAAACCTCCAATCTTCCCCAAATACTCCAACAGCTTTAATCAATTTATCAATCTCCGACTGTTTCCAGGGTTTATTTTCATCGTCAAACAAAGGCATGGCGGTATTAGAAGTTTCAACAATGAACTCTCGAATTTTTAAATTAAAAAACGCCTGTTAATTAACATAGCATGAGTCTACATTATAATTACGGTGAAAAAATACTGCGGGAGGGTCTGAAATTACCCTTGTTCGGAGTGCCAAGAAGATACCTAGGAAAGTGCGAGTCAGTTGATAAAATTAGAAAATTTAAATACGGCTCTATATAATCCACGCGTAGAGGTGATGTTACATTTTTTCATTTTCCCGGATATGGGCAATGATCTCGTGTAATGTTAAGCACAGTGCATTTAAACACAGCCTTGCAGATCTGCCTCAAAAGAACAATTTTCATTTAGCGTCTATATGATTATGTAAACGATGCGACTGTCAAGAACTAAGAAATAATTTCGAAGATGCAAGCGCTTATGGATAATTATATTTCCTTCGCGAATCGAGATTGAGGGATGAGGGCTCTCGAAGAAAATTTCACCTAAAAAATTACCCGCGAGTTACGATTTTTGCTTGCCCATTCCTTTCTTTGCAGTTTTGTTTTTACGGTTGCGTACAAATAAATTAATCCAAATGAGGATGTTTTCGATTTTTCAACCATAAAAGTTTTTATTACTACGTTTTGAAAGAATGATAAGATAAAAAATCATTGTACGTATATAGGTGTATATGCAGTGAAATCCGGAATTCAACATCGTTCGATTCAACGAAAACTTTAGTTGCATGTAACTCTTTTTTTTTTAAACAAATACACATAGTGTGTGAAGTTTTTTCATAAATTTAAATTAATAATAAGACTTTCCATTCTAGTCCGGCAAAGTTGCGGTTCATTGGATTCAAGTTGTTTTCTAGCCCGTTTTAAAGTCAATCAACGAATAATTCCTCTTCACATTTCAATTTAGTCTACATTTGAACTGCATTATTATTATCCAATGCATATTTAGCGAGTCACTGTCTTCTTTTTTAAGTGAAAATTAAAATTGATATTTTTGTTAGTATCACAGAAAGATTTTTTTTTCTTTGTAAATATATACAAATACAGTATATACAGTATATTGATACTGTATATTGATAACTTTAAGATTTTTATAACTTTAAAAATTTTATATAATTTTAACATATAAATATAAAAATTAAATAGATCTTATTTCAATAAGTAAAACTCAGTTTAAGTAACTGGATTTGTTTTATTGTTGATTTATCAAATTACAATATAACACGTACATATCTCTGTTTTTAAAATTTTTTTAGAAATTTTTGAAGAAATATTTCAGAGGTTTTTGAAAAACTTCAAAAATTTTTATATTAGAATAATTCAAAAATCTCTAAAGTAAATATAAAATAAAATATTTTGATTGGTTTCAAGTGTTTTACAAAAAATTAAGTTAATTTATTCTTCTAGAGTACTTAATAAAAAATGTGTTGATCAAAATTTTATAAGTTACTTAAATAAAAAATAATTAAAGTTTCTTGAAAATTCAAAATCTTTAAATTTGAAATTTTTTTTTTTTTTTGAAGAAGCGGGCGGCTCCCCGCATGTATTTTTATTATAAATTTTAGACTTGTAACAAGGCAAGA